ATGTGTGTGTGTGTGTGTGTGTGTGTGTGTGTGTGTGTGTGTGTGTGTGTGTGTGTGTGTGTGTGTGTGTGTGTGTGTGTGTGTGTGTGTGTGTGTGTGTGTGTGTGTGTGTGTGTGTGTGTGTGTGTGTGTGTGTGTGTGTGTGTGTGTGTGTGTGTGTGTGTGTGTGTGTGTGTCTGTGTGTGATCAGCAGATGACTGAGGGATCGAAAGGCCAGCCTGCTCTTAAAGGAACCATTAGCATTTAGATTCTGCTCTTACTCCTCCCCTCCTCACCCCCTCTTCACCCCCTCCCCTCCCCTCCTCTCCCCCTCCTCCCTCACCCATCGGTCTCACCCATTCATCCCTCATCAGACTTTCCTCCACCGTATGAACCACAGAAGTCTCGAACAAGTCCAGTACACTGAGATAATCTCGCTCCTCTGACTCCCACCTGGTGTTTGGACGATTCAGAAGTGTTGAGTTTTTACTTGTGTGTTCTGAAAGTGTGTTGTCACAGCTGTAAATGTGTGTGTTTTTAGACAACTCGGGATGAAGTAGTCTGTTGTAGAGTTCTCAGACATCGCAGACCAGTGTGGAGGAAATGGACTTAGTTTCTCTGATCAGCAAACAGTGAATCACAGACAGTCTGCTGCCGGCGGTGAATGAAGTCTAATAACTCACTGACTTCCAGCCGTTTATGAGGATTTCACCGACTTTCAAGACCCACAGAATATTGTGTGCTATGATTATGTGAAATATGAAACCAGATTCTGAAAGATTCGACCGTCTACTTTCATCAGCAAAACTAAGGGTGTATTCAGACCTGCACATTTGCTCCACTTTAAACGGACCAGGATTCGTTTGGAACTCTGATCCGAATCTTTTATGCAGGTCTGAATACACACAAACGAATCCTGGTCCGGACCAAAGAACCGAACCGAGACCCACTTTTTGAGGTGGTCTCGGTCCGCTTCCAAACGAATTCTGGTCCAAGTCGAATCAGGTCTGAATACATCCGGTGTCGATCCGACACAACTCCAAGATACGTGCGCATTTTTTGGGCTTAACAAGCCGCAGACAGAAACTGAGGAATTAGCCATGCAGCGGCTAACTATGCTGCTAACTCTGCTGCTAACTATGCTGCTAACGCTACACAACAACACTGAGCCGTGTGCAGACCTGGAGCAGTGAGGAGACACTGTGCAACAGGCTTATGGAGTTAAAACTGTTCACAGTTTACAGTGATGTTAATGGCAGCATCTTTAAATACTTTGCATTATTAAAAACCTGACACTGTTTGTCTCACGTCTCAAAAAGAAATATCCCGCATCATGTAGTGAATTGTGTTCTTTGGTTCCTACCTGATCCTCAGCGTCTGTTTGTCCCGTGGTTATTATAGATCCATGGTTTGTCCACAATGCTGAACAGGGCCATTATTATAGTAGATCCATGTGTGGGACAGGGCACGGAGCGCACAGACAGAGTCTCCTTCGGCTTTCTCCTCACGCATTCTCCAACGCTGTTCCAATATTTAAAACACCGTGTTTCGCCTGCGTCATATGAGCTGTTGATGTTGAAGCTGGTTTTGCTCTAAAAAGAGCAAACACAGGCAGAGCAGACATGCTGCACATACGAGCCCTCAATGTTCCTCTGGTTCCGCGTCTATCCTCCGTGAGCTCTCACTGTCCAATAGGAGCCGATCGTCACACGTGTCGATATGTTTAGATAAAAAAGTTCACTTGCAAAAAGGACAGCCTGAATACAAACCGGAGCAAAAGAAAAAAGTTTGGTCCGCTTTTGATTCGGATCAAGCAAGCGGAGCAAAGGACTTTTCAGGTCTGAATACACCCTAAAATTTTAGCAGATGGGATTTTTAATCCAAATTTTAGGAAAGATCCGCCCTCTCCAAGTTTCTAACAAAACTCTCTGGTCTTGTTTGACGCAGAATGATTGACACCTGGGAGGACCAATAGTCTTGATGATCCACCCGGAAGTAGACAAGTAGACAAGTTTAATAGTTAAAATAGTGCATTGGTTTTAAACAGAGCTTTTTCAGGATTCTCAAAGTCTCTTCACGTATTATTCTGGTGATAAACTATTGTAGCCACAGCTGCCCTGGGGCACACTGACAAAAGAGAGGCAACCAGTCTGTGCCATCAGCCCCTCCCACCACCACCAACCATTCACACACACACACACACACACCAGACTCATTCTAATGTGGGGGAAGTGTCTTGCCTAAGGACACAACCACAGTTTGGCAGTTTACAGCCGCAGCCGCCCCACTGTGGCACCTGCTGTTCCCAGAGGTTTCCCATCACAGCTCTAACCAGGCCCTGTCCTGCTTAGCTTCACAGGTCTGACTGGATCTCTGTATGCAGGTCTGGCCACGTAAGGATAGACCCGGATTTAGTCCAAAACCAGGACTTGAGGACTTTAAATCCTTGAGCTTAAACTGCAGCGTTTCTCTTTGAATTCAGATCCAGACTCGACCTCAGCCGCAGTCGCCTCAGACGACTTTAGGATCAGAATGATACCAGAGAGAGACCAGAGAGAGACCAGAGAGGCCAGAGAGAGACCAAAGAGAGACCAGAGAGAGACCAGAGAGAGACCAGAGAGAGACCAGAGAGAGACCAGAGAGACCAGAGAGAGACCAAAGAGAGACCAGAGAGAGACCAGAGAGAGACCAGAGAGAGACCAGAGAGAGAGACCAGAGAGAGACCAGAGAGACCATAGAGACCAGAGAGAGACCAGAGAGAGACCAGAGAGAGACCAGAGAGAGACCAGAGAGAGACCAGAGAGAGACCAGAGAGAGACCAGAGAGAGACCAGAGAGAGAGACCAGAGAGAGACCAGAGAGACCATAGAGACCAGAGAGAGACCAGAGAGAGACCAGAGAGACCAGAGAGAGACCAAAGAGAGACCAGAGAGAGACCAGAGAGACCAGAGAGAGACCAGAGAGACCAGAGAGAGACCAGAGAGACCAGAGAGAGACCAGAGAGAGACCAGAGAGAGACCAGAGAGAGACTAGAGATAGACCAGAGAAAGACCAGAGAGAGAGATGTTTGGTAATCCTAATTTATTCTAAATAAAAATAACCAGTTTCTAATTTGGTCTGAAACATGACTCAGCAAATCTTCCACTTTCTCTTTGTCTTTTCAGACGTCATTTTTCACCGTTTTTCAGGTTCTGTCACTCAGTGTGTGTATGTTTGTGTGTCAGTGTCACTCAGTGTGTGTATGTTTGTGTGTCAGTGTCACTCAGTGTGTCTGTGTGTGTCAGTGTCACTCAGTGTGTCTGTGTGTGTCAGTGTCACTCAGTGTGTCTGTGTGTGTCAGTGTCACTCAGTGTGTCTGTGTGTGTCAGTGTCACTCAGTGTGTCTGTGTGTGTCAGTGTCACTCAGTGTGTCTGTGTGTGTCAGTGTCACTCAGTGTGTCTGTGTGTGTCAGTGTGTCTCAGTGTGTCTGTGTGTCTCAGTGTGTCCCTCTCTGTGTATGTGTTTCTCTATGTGTGTCCGTCTCAGTGTGTGTCTCTCTGTGTGTGTGTGCGTGTCTCAGTGTGTGTGTCTCTGTGTGTGTCCGTGTCTCAGTGTGTCTGTGTGTGTCAGTGTGTCCCTCTCTGTGTATGTGTGTTTCTCTATGTGTGTCCGTCTCAGTGTGTGTCTCTCTGTGTGTGTATGTGCGTGTCTCAGTGTGTGTCTCTTTGTGTGTGTTCGTGTCTCAGTGTGTGTTTGTCTCTATATGTGTCCGTCTCAGTGTGTGTCTCAGTGTGTCCGTGTCTCAGTGTGTCTGTATGTGTCTATCAGTGTGTGTGTCTGTATGTGTCCGTCTCAGTGTGTCTGTGTGTGTGTCTCAGTGTCTCAGTGTGTGTGTGTGTGTGTCTGTATGCGTGTGTCTGTATGTGTCTGTGTGTGTGTCTCAGTGTGTATGTCTCAGTGTGTGTGTGTGTGTCTCAGTGTGTGTGTCTGTATGTGTGTGTCTCAGTGTGTGTTTGTCTCAGTGTGTGTGTGTCTGTATGTGTCTGTATGTGTGTGTCTGTGTGTGTGTATGTGTGTGTCTCAGTGTGTGTGTGTGTCTCTCAGTGTGTCTGTATGTGTGTGTCTCAGTGTGTGTGTGTGTCTCTCAGTGTGTCTGTGTGTGTGTCTCAGTGTCTCAGTGTGTGTGTGTGTCTGTATGTGTGTGTCTCAGTGTGTGTGTGTGTGTCTCAGTGTGTGTGTGTGTGTTATTGTGAGGGAATAATGGGCTTTCAGGGCGCCATGTTTAATAAAAAGCAACATAACCTTTAAGACTCAAGGCGAAACATTTACCTGGCGCTCTCTTGTCTTCAGCTCCTTCTCGAGGCTCGCGCCGGAATGAACCAGAACCATTATCAGCAAAAGGTCAGCGGGCGCCAGGCACAGGGGAAAAGCCAGCATTTGGGGTTTGAATATGTACATTAGTTTGATGGATTTTAAAGCTGCAGGACGTGGATCTCAAACCAAGATGAAATATGTAAAATCGTTCACTGGTTTCTTCTTCTCTGGTTGAAAAAAGGCAAAGAAGTATTCCTAGTTTGTGAGTAAGTTGGTAAGTAATATTTATTTATATAGCGCCTGTCACAAAGCACTTTATAATTGTAGTTTTAAGGGGTTTTTTGGTTGTCCACACCATGGCATGGAGCTAAAGTTGGCTGGATGACACTGTGAAAGTACATTCATAGTAAAATGAGAATCTGATTTATTTCATTACCAACGTAAATAACAGGAAGTCTGAGGTTTGACTCCACTTCAGAATTTTCTGTACGAAGTTTGTATGTTCTCCCTGTGTCTGTATAGGTTTCCTCCAGGTGCTCCAGTTTCCTCCAGGTGCTCCGGTTTCCTCCAGGTGCTCCAATTTCCTCCAGGTGCTCCAGTTTCCTCCAGGTGCTTCAGTTTCCTCCAGGTGCTCCGGTTTCCTCCAGGTGCTCCAGTTTCCTCCAGGTGCTCCGGTTTCCTCCAGGTGCTCCAATTTCCTCCAGGTGCTTCAGTTTCCTCCAGGTGCTTCAGTTTCCTCCAGGTGCTCCGGTTTCCTCCAGGTGCTCCAGTTTCCTCCAGGTGCTCCGGTTTCCTCCAGGTGCTCCAGTTTCCTCCAGGTGCTCCAGTTTCCTCCAGGTGCTCCAGTTTCCTCCAGGTGCTCCGGTTTCCTCCAGGTGCCCCAGTTTCCTCCAGGTGCTCCGGTTTCCTCCAGGTGCTCCGGTTTCCTCCAGGTGCTCCGGTTTCCTCCAGGTGCTCTGGTTTCCTCCAGGTGCTCCAGTTTCCTCCAGGTGCTCCGGTTTCCTCCAGGTGCTCCGGTTTCCTCCAAGTGCACCGGTTTCCTCCAGGTGTTCCGGTTTCCTCCAGGTGCTCCGGTTTCCTCCAGGTGCTCCGGTTTCCTCCAAGTGCTCCAGTTTCCTCCAGGTGCTCCGGTTTCCTCCAGGTGCTCCGGTTTCCTCCAAGTGCTCCAGTTTCCTCCAGGTGCTCCGGTTTCCTCCAGGTGCTCCGGTTTCCCCTACCACTAAAACCATGTACTTGTGCTTCCTGAACAAATGCCCAAAACGATTATAATAAAGCGCTTTATCATTAATTAAGACTTAATTACTTCTGTATCTTGTAACTAGTTGGTGTTATTAAATATCTGTTTTTATATCTACGTGTTGTGGAGCTAATATATAAGAAAACGCTGATATTTTTCGTATAAAACCAATCTTTCTCATTAATCTGCAAGTCTTCGAACCTAGAGCCAGAGAAAAGCCTCGTCTCTGTTCGACATCGACATCTGCACATTTCTTCAAGGTCTAAGTTTCAGCAGAGAGACCCTCAGGCAGAGGACGAGAGAGCGGGTTTTCAGTCTGTGCAAAACAAAACTGACGCTCGAGAGGAAGACATGCTTCTGCTGTCAGAGAATCAGGAGAGGAGAGGGTCAAGATGTAGTGAAGAGCAGAGAGAGAGAGACCAGAGAGAGACCAGAAAGAGAGACCAGAGAGAGACTAGAGAGAGAGACCAGAGAGAGACCAGAGAGAGACTAGAGAGAGAGACCAGAGAGAGACCAGAAAGAGACCAGAGAGAGACTAGAGAGAGAGACCAGAGAGAGACCAGAGAGAGACCAGAAAGAGACCAGAGAGAGACTAGAGAGAGAGACCAGAGAGAGACCAGAAAGAGACCAGAGAAAGACTAGAGAGAGAGACCAGAGAGAGACCAGAAAGAGGCCAGGGTCTTTCTCCTGTAAAGTTACCGCTCTGTAAAAATGTGCAGGTGACCAAAATAAGTTTTATTGGTTCATGTCCAAACACACAAATACACATACACACACACTCAGGACGCTTATATACACAGATACACACACTCAGGACGCACACTCACACTCAGACGCACACACATACGCGTTTGCGTGACAAATGACGACCCATATCTGCACTGTGACATATCAGGACGTGCCTTTCTGAAGGTCCCAGAGACCTGAGGATCACATAGGGGGGAGCAGGGTGTGTTCAGTTACACAGCTAGCTGTTGATATTTTGGTTACAAGAAACTTTTTCCCCGCATGATTTTATTGCCACATATGAGGACCTTGAGAGTGACATATGAGGTCCTACAACACACACATCAGGTCTGAGTGAGATATCAGGACCTACAACACACACATCAGGTCTGAGTGAGATATAAGGACCTATAACACACACATCAGGTCTGAGTGAGATATAAGGACCTACAACACACACATCAGGTCTGAGTGAGATATAAGGACCTACAACACACACATCAGGTCTGAGTGAGATATTAGGACCTACAGAATAACATATGGGTGTCATTTTTGACACCTCACTTTTATATTTGTTTTTGATATTTTAAATCCTAATTTAAACATGATTTTCCTACTGGAGTAAAAAACATTTTCAGGGAAAAAATCTACTTACACAAGGAGAATATGCAAGCTCCACTCCGAAAGGCCCCTTCTGGCTGGAAGTTTTTTTAGTTTTTTTTTTTTTTTTTTACAAACACTCACTCACTACCCAAGTATCTTTTTAAATTAGCTTGAGTCAATATTTTGGCTATTCTACCCAACTCTGGGGATGTATTTAAGTTTGTGACACTGTAGGTGACATATGAGGACAAGTGTGTGTGTGTTAAAAGTGTGTTAAGGTAGTTCCGTGCACAACCAGAGGGGGCACTTCAAATTTTTTGGGACGGAGTGTTTCGGCCCCGACACACATTTTCACTATTTGTAGACATTTTGGGACATGATTGAATTTTGGTGTAGCGCTTCATCTGGGCCTCTACAACACTGTAGTATGCATGGAAAAATGGGGACCTGAAAAAAGTCCCCATATTTCCTCAGGTCCTCATATTGAAGATGTGTTATCATACAAAGTCCTCATATGTCCGCGAAACAAACGCACACACACGCACACACACACACACACAGACACACGCACACACACACACACACACACACACACACACACACACACATCAAAAGTTGCCTGAGTTGCAGATGTGGTTCCTCTCAATGCGTCACTCCATAAACTATTATTAATATTAATTACAATCATAAATTTCACTTGTGGTGTTTTTCTCCCGTTCAGTCTTTGGCTAATGAGCCGGAGCCCGAGCTGCGGCCGGAGAAACACTGATCAAGAATCACTGCTGAGGATTAAAGCACATGTACTTAAACATGACTCCCCTGCGACCTGAGGATGTGTTTGAGCTCCATCCATGCTGGTATCAACACGGCCCCCCCACTGTGACTGTGTGGAGAGGAGTGTCGGAGAAACTACAAAGATTCTTTAGGCAACACAAAATCCCGGTGTATTTCAAACGTTTAACACGTGAAGACAGAAAAGAGTGCATCCCAAAGACAGAACACCCAGACACAAACAGAGCAGTGTTGGAGTATTCAGTTAAAGAAACTAAGAAACTAAACAAACTCTACAGAAACGACTTTACCAACACAGCAGAGAAAACTCTAGTGAGCCACAATCAGCTGTCCGTCTACACCTCAAGGCCGAAAACCACACCGTGAACCACACCGTGAACGTCACCGTGAACCACACCGTGAACCACACCGTGAACCACACCGTGAACCACACCGTGAACGTCACCGTGAACCACACCGTGAACCACACCGTGAACCACACCGTGAACCACACCGTGAACCACACCGTGAAACACACCGTGAACCACACCGTGAACCACACCGTGAAACACACCGTGAAACACACCGTGAAACACACCGTGAACCACGTGAACACACCGTGAACCACACCGTGAACCACACCGTGAAACACACCGTGAAACACACCGTGAACCACACCGTGAACCACACCGTGAAAACCACACCGTGAACACACACCGTGAACCACACCGTGAACCACACCGTGAAACACACCGTGAAACACACCGTGAACCACACCGTGAACCACACCGTGAAACACACCGTGAAACACACCGTGAACCACACCGTGAACCACACCGTGAACCACACCGTGAACCACACCGTGAACCACACCGTGAACCACACCGTGAACGTCACCGTGAACCACACCGTGAACCACACCGTGAACCGTAGCACCCTAAAGCCTCCATAGCACCTTAAAGCCTCCATAGCACCTAAGGCCTCCACACTGAATCCATGAATATTTTTTGAAACACCTCAAAGGTGTAGCGGAGGAATGTAGGGTACTGTAGGTTGAGTGCATAGATGAGTCCAAAAAGCATTGCAGTAGCCAATGCTACACTGTCCAGAGAGTCTATGACCTTAATTCCTTCGAGGACAATCCCAATGTCATTGCTTTCTTCATCTGCTCGGAAAATGTAGATTCCACATGTAGTCTGTTCTATGGCCTCATTACTGTTTTCATCCAAGTGCTGTAAAACAAAGATATGAAAAAGCAAGTCATTAATAAGAGAAAATTACATTAATGATCAAGGCTAGGGATCCCTTGCCTTGGCAACATAGTCTCTTCAAAAATTCCAGTTCCAACTTTTCTTTGAGCAATATAGTCTCTTAAAAAAAAATTGTAGACATGCCCCAAATCCTCGACTTGAGGCAAAGACACTCCACCCACCTGGAGGGGTCAAAGCACCTTTCTGGGCTCAAGCACCATCGCCTCAGATTTGGAGTCGCTGATTGTCATCCCACAAACCCCAGGTTATCAAATAAATTAGATACATAAGACTAGGGTGAGGGCTGTATAATATATTTCAGAGATTTTTTTAGGGCTGAATTGGAGTAAGTGGTGCGTAAGGTATGGATGAGGGAGGATGAGGGTGGGGTAAGGGTGGTGGTTATTTTTTACATACCATATATTCCCGAACCAGCTGTTCGTGGTCTTCGCCCATATACGCACAGAGTCCCTTTAGGATGCACTCCCGCCTCACATGCACACTGACACCCTGAAAGGACATAACCAGCGGTAAAGAAATATCAACTGCAGTAATTAATTACTGTAGTAATAGTAATTAACTATTAAGGTAACACCAGTTATACATTTTTACAGTAGCCGTGTGGTCGGAGCTTTTATCTAGAGTTAGCTTAGCTCAGATGATACACACTTTTTTAAGGTCGGTCCAAGGAGCCATGAGCTGACTTGAGCCATATAGCATTAAAGGGGAAGGAGACCACTTACATCGGTCACTGGTGCCATGAGACTTTTGAGCTTTTGGCCCAACTGCCCCCCTCTCTTTAGAAACAGCTCACTCAGCTTAGCGGAGTAGAGATCCAGTCTGTACAGGAACTTGCACTGCAATGGGACGGTGGTGATCCTTTTGAATTCTGAATTTATCTGAAAAGGGGCAAAAGGACAAAGGAGGTCAGGTTGGAGGAAAACACCAGACTGACAGACATTGACCGTCTGTATTGAAGTAAAACAAGCTAATGACATACAATCAAATACAAATGGAGATATAAATCAAAATGAGCCTTACCTCACTGATCTCGAACAGAGCAGGCCATCTTTCCTGGAATTCCTTCACCATTGGGGCATCACGAACCACCTCATTTCTTCGATGTGCGAAAGTCTTTTCCATTTTGTGGATCACCTCGGATCTATTGCTCCTCTTTTTCACATCAAGCAGAAGCTCTTTCCTGATGGCCTCTTGCCTGGCCTGCCAAACGATATGCTTTTTCAAAGACATATAGTCTGGGAACGAGCTTGATCTCAGCGAATTCCCGGTGGGCGTGGTTGACAGACTGCATCAACCAATTAGATGCACACAGGATATGACGCAGCAACTAGCGGCACCCAAGCCGTTTCAGTAAACACAAAACAAGGGATGGCGGCATGTCAGCTAGTGCAAATGTAAACGACTGCTGTCGATTTTGTAACAAAAACTTAAAGATATGAGGAGTTATTAGCAACTCAAAGGTGAAAGGAAGTCCCGCCTCTCGGTGCGTGATTGGACCGATGTGGGTAAAATCGTGAAATGATATCCACTCGGCACGGTGGCTGAGTGGATAGCACTCTCGCCTCTCAGCAAGAAGGTCCTGGGTTCGAATCCCGGTCGGACCAGGGCCTTTCTGAGTGGAGTTTGCATGTTCTCCCCGTGTCTGCGTAGGTTTCCTCCGGGTACTCCGGTTTCCCCTACCACTAAAAATATGTACAATAGTTCTGTCATGCGCCTCCTGTGATGGCGACCGCGCTCCCATCTCTGTGTGGAGTGAGAGACAAATGCCCATAATTAACAATTGTAAACCGCTTTGAGACTCAGATCTGCAGTGAAAAGGCGGTATATAAATAAAAACTTACTAACTTACTTACTTACTAGGCTAGGAAGAGGTGTCCAGACGGTTCTTCTTTTGAACAGAAAGGAGGAGTGTCTGGCAGGCCAGGCAAGATGGCCTCCAGACTCTGCTCATTTTCATCCGAGGGGTATTTTGGGCAGAAATTAACCTCTGCTCTCTTAGGTTTTTTAGTTCCATATGCTGCGCTGCGCTTCCCATCAGGTTTGTTTTTCAGCGAGTTGACGACCACTTCCGGACAACCCAGCTTTCTCAAATGTGTACGGTAATTGGACAGTTTATCTTTTAAACTCTTCTTCCAGCAACCATACCCAGTGGAAGATCCCTTCTCCGTTAGACACGGATGTTTTGTAACTAGACTCTTGGCTACCTGTTCCATTTCCTTATCACTCACATAGACTTTAAACTGCACTATTTCCTGGACTAAACCATCAAGGATGGCAGTCTTCAACTTGGGATCTGGAATAAGTGTTGTGCCTTTTTGACCATACTCTACACCTGCCCGCTCAAGTTTAAGTTCAGAATCAAAAGAGAACTTGGGGACATGAAAAACAGTAGGCCAAGATGACTTTAGGCTCAAAGAGTCACTGATTGACACTGAGGTTGAAGCCTCGCTCGTCAGTATATCTGTGTCCGCAGAACCATCAGATAGGAAGGAGGATTCGAGTTCATTGGAAGAACTAGGCACTGGGGATGGTAGTACTGAGATACAGAAGGAAAATGTCTCATCAATTACTTTTAGAGTACCTCTATTTTCCACTTCAGAAATTGAGGTGAGGTTCAGGAACTCATCTCCCAACAGAGAATCTTTAAACTGAAGTTTAAAATTGTTCACAAGTCCACACTGGTTTTTCACTTCATCTCTAAGATCATCTAAGGATGCCGGGAGTCTATGGGGCAGAGTCAACCTCTGAGCAGTGCCATCAGTCAAGATGATCTTCAGGATCATAGGGGTCTCCATCTTTGAAGCCGTTTACTCTGCAGACACAAAAAGTTGGAATTAGACATCAATTGACACCCAAAGGACCACCCCCATCCCTGGGAAAAATAAAAGCTGGTGTACCTTGTATTTCTATGTGTCTCTTTAGAGTCACCATGCGGGCGGATCCAATTTTGTAGGCAACAAGAGGGTAAGGATCAAGCAGTTCATTCACTGCCACCAGAGTGTATGTTCTTGTGGGCGTAAGTTCGTATGCTCTAAAATGCTCTGTATACCAACCACAGAGCTCCTTGATAATAAAGAATATACTCTCATGCACAATACAGATTTGGTCAATTTCACCAAATTCAGGTGATCCATATGCTGCTTTGTGAACCAGTAGCATCGCCCTCCTAGGCAAGGCAAGGCAAGGCAAGTTTATTTATATAGCACAATTCATACACAAGGCAATTCAAAGTGCTGAACAGAACAAGAAAGCATTAAAATCATAAATAATCACAGTACATTAAAAAAAAAGATAAAAATATAAAATCCCTCAGTTGTATGCACAGCTAAACAGAACTGTTTTCAACCTTGTCTTAAACATTGTCAGAGAGGAGGCCTGTCTCACATCTTCAGGAAGACTGTTCCAGATTTTAGCAGCATGAATCTGAAAAGCAGCCTCCCCATGTTTAGTTCTGACTCTGGGCACTAACAGGAGTCCAGTCCCTGTGCTCCTCAGAGTCCGGGCTGGTTCATATGGGACTAACATGTCACTAATATAGTTTGGTGCGAGGCCATGGAGAGATTTGTACACAAGCAGAGCTGTTTTAAAGTCTATTCTCTGAGCCACAGGAAGCCAGTGCAGGGACCTGAGGACCGGACTAATGTGGTCGTACTTCCTGGTTCTAGTCAGGACTCAAGCTGCTGCATTTTGAATGTACTGCAGCTGTTTTACAGCCTGTTTGGACAGACCTGTAAGCAGGCCATTGCAGTAGTCTAACCTACTGGAGACAAATGCATGGATAAGAATCTCCAAGTCTGCTTTAGACACTATGTTTTTGATCCTGGCAATGTTTTTTAGATGGTAAAAAGCTGCTGATGTTACTGATTTGATGTGGCTATTAAAATTTAAGTCTGAGTCCAGTATTACCCCTAGATTTCTGACCTTGTTTGAAGGTTTTAGGGAGAGAGACTGTAGGTGACAGATGACGCTCTCTCTTTGTTTCTGGGGACCAAAGACAATCATTTCAGTTTTGTCTGCGTTTAGCTGAAGGAAGTTGTTTTGCATCCACTCACTGATCTGTTGGATACAGTGAAGGAGTGAGTCCACTGGTCCATGTTCTCCTGCAGTCAGTGAGACATAGATCTGAGTGTCGTCTGCATAGTTGTGATAGGACACTTTGTTTCTGCGTATTAACTGACCTAACGGCAGCATGTAGAGATTGAACAGAAGAGGTCCCAGGATCGACCCCTGTGGTACTCCACAGGTCAGGGCCATATGATCTGAGACACAGTCTCCAATCTCCACAAAGTACTTCCTGTCTTCAAGGTAAGACCTAAACCAACTTAGGGCGGTGCCAGCGACTCCAACCCAGTCCTCTAGTCTCTGTAAGAGGATCTCATGGTCGACGGTGTCAAAGGCAGCACTCAGATCTAACAAGATTAAGATTGAGACTTTGCCTGCGTCAGTGTTCAGCCGGATATCGTTTGTAACCTTGACAAGAGCAGTCTCAGTGCTGTGGTGGGGTCTAAAGCCGGACTGAAACATATCAAATGAGTTGTTAATTATAAGAAATCTAGTAAGCTGTAGGTAGACAACTTTTTCAAGGACTTTCCCCATAAATGGCAGATTTGAGATGGGACGATAGTTGTTAAGTACCGTAGCATCCACGCTGCTCTTTTTTAGCAGGGGCCTGATGACTGCAGTTTTCAGGGCCTTTGGGAATATTCCAGAATGAAGGGACATGTTTACTATCTGTGTGAGTGAAGGTAACAGACTGCTCAGAACAGACTTCAGAAATCTAGTGGGTAGTACATCCAGGCTGCATGTGGAGGAGCTCAAACTGGAGATTATTTCTTGGACATTTTTATCATCTACAGGTGCAAAGTAAGTTAGCTCAGAGAGCCTTTCTGGCTGTTGGATGGTTATCTGTGGATTGGAGACAATGGCGTTTTTGATGCCTTGAACCTTGTCATTGAAAAAGTGTGCAAACTCATTGCATTTACGTTTGGAAGTTAGCTCTAATGGCATTTGAACAGGGGGGTTTGTTAATCTATTAACTGTTGAAAACAGAACACGCAGATTGTTACTGCAGCCTTCAATCATTTCAGAAAAATACCTTTCTCTCGTACTACGTAGCACCCGGTTAAACTCGCATAACTTATCTTTGAAGATCTTGTAATCAACCTGGAGGTTGGACTTGCGCCACTTCCGCTCGGCCCTCCGGCACTTTCTCTTTTGTGCCCTGACCGAGTCTGCTTTAGCCCACGGCGCCTTCTGCTTATTTTTCACTATTTTAACCTTCACAGGGGCAACGGTATCCAGAACATTCAAAACACTAGAGGTGACAGAGTTAAACAGTTCATCTACAGTAGAATACGATGCATTTTCAAAGTTTATCATTCCCATAAATAGTTCACTTGTATTTTCATTTATGCGCCTTCTTCGAACAGTTGCAGAGTCCACTGGTGGTTTGTTAGTGAAACACATGTCAAAAAATACACAGAAATGATCCGAAAGAGCAACATCGACCACGCTTATATTTGAAATATTCACCCCCTTTGTAACTAACAGGTCTAGAGTGTGCCCTCTGCTGTGGGTGGGGCCACTCACATGCTGAGTGAGACCAAAGGTATCAAGTAAAGAACTCAGCTCTTTTGCATTTCTGTCATCAACATTATCCACATGAATATTAAAATCACCTGTAATAACTAAACTATCAAAATCTGTGCATACAACTGAAAGCAACTCGGTAAAATTATCAATAAAACTGTGACATGACTGCGGTGGCTTGTATAGGACTATGAAGAGTATTGGAGGAGATTGTTTTTGTTGTATTTTAAAAGACACATATTCAAAAGACGGAAACTTCCCAAGAGACATTCTATGGGAGACAAAGTGGTCTCTAAAAATGGCAGCTAAGCCTCCTCCTTTTTTGTTTTCCCGTATTTCAGATTCAAATTTGAAATTTGGTGGTGATGCTTCTATTAAAACTGCATTTTCTGTATTTTGGTCAAGCCATGTTTCAGCCATGAACATAAGATCAAGATTGTGAGAACAAATAAAATTATTGATTAAAAAAGACTTGTTAGAAA